AGTTTGTCTTTCTCCCCCCTTCCCTTTTTAAGTTGTGAGCCGCCCTGAGTCCCCCCAGGGAAAAGGGCGGCATATAAATAAACTCAATACCAATATCAATACCAATACCAAAGTCCAAAAGTATCAATACTCTTTTATATCTTGCTTCTTGAGAGTCCAACTTTCACTTTCAAACAGGCTTTTAAATAGAGATGTGCAGTGAGGGGTTTATCAGATATTCCTAAATTCCAGTATTCAGCATTTCATGCTAGGATAGCCAATGATAAAGACTGTAATCCAACAACATGTAAAGGGCCAAACACTTCCCCTGGTGTGACCTAAGCAGCATGAAATTTAACTAATCCATATTTAGTGTTCAGAATTGGAATATTGAGTAATGAAAATTACAGTAATTTTGCTGGATTAATTTATGGGTGTACAGGAGAGCCACTGCTGAGCATTGATTAAATGTTGGGTTGAAGCTATTCAGCTTCAAATTCTTATGTGATCAAAAAAAAAATCACTGCAAGATTATAGACCATGCTGACAGTTTCAGCCTAAATTGTTTTCCAATTTTATTCTGTCAGTACCTGGGTGAGTTATTTAGAAGTATTCCACGTGTTCTCTTTTATTATTTGGGGGGAAATCAGAACAAAAAATAAACTTACATAAGAAATGAATCTATACCCAAGGCCAGAAATGGAATTCAATAACAGTCAGAGATGGCTTGGTCTATCAAATTGTTATTATCTTAGGGTGTCCCAAATGCAGCAAAACATTTTTATATTTTATATTTTTAAAGGTAATAAATACCACACCTGCATATCATTAACAACATGCCTCATAAAGTTTGTCATGGGTTTTGAATGGCTCATCTCTTTGCCTAAGGTGATGGCCACAAGGAATCAAAACCATTCAATATTATTTTGGGGCTTACAGGAAAACAAATGATTAAATTCTAGGGAAGAGTATGTGATCTGTATTGTCATCTTTACATCATCTACAGGACCCATCAACTTCTTGAATTAGAATTTTACTTTGAAGGGTATTTTATTGCTGTTAAACACCATTTAAAGGGTATAGGACAGTGATTCTCAACCTTGGCGACTTTAAGTTCTGTGGACTTCAACTCCCAGAATTCCCCAACCAGCTGGGTGGGGAATTCTGGGAGTTGAAGTCCACAGGACTTAAAGTCACCAAGGTTGAGAATCACTGGTATAGGCGGACCTGGGAAACTGTTTTCCATCTGTAACTGGATTACTTATTTATTGTTCCTTTGTTCAGATTTACTGCCAGCCAAGAATGGTGAGGAGCAAACACTTCAGTTCCTTCTGGAAGTGGTGGAAATTCTCCTGACCTATGTGAAGAAGACTTTTGATAGGTCCACCAAGGTGCTGGATTTCCATCACCCTCATCAGCTCCTGGAAGGCATGGAAGGCTTCAACCTTGAACTCTCCGACAATCCGGAATCCCTTGAACAGATTCTAGTGGACTGCAGAGACACTCTGAAATATGGAGTAAGGACAGGTGAGAGAATGTGTTGGGCTATTCATGGAGTAAAGAGTTTAGACCAGCATTTCTCAACCTTGAGAGCTTGAAGATGATGTGTGGACTTCAACTTCCAGAATTTAAGCCTTCCAGCTTAACTTCAACTTCCAGCCAGCACGAATTCTGGGAGTTGAGGTCCACACATCTGCAAACTACGAAGGTTGAGAAACACCGGATTAAATAGTTAAAAAGTTATCTGCCTGTATGTGAGAGTAACTGATGCATAATCTTTATTACAGCCTAGAATTCTCTGAATTCTTTAGTAGCAAAGGTCAATATCATTTGGTGTTTTTGTGAAAAATAAAAATATATACTGTAGGTTCATGGGATAACATCCCAGTATTATCGTTTTGGCTTTCAACAAATTTTCCAGCTGCACAGACCTAGTTCACACATTAACCAACGCAATCCACCCTTTATATAAACAGAGTTTATTGAATTAACCATAATTGGTTAGGTTTTCCTTTACAGACTAAGTCAGATTGAAGGAAATCAAAATATGGCTTTGATTTAGCATAATGATGGGGAAATCGTTGCTAAATTAAATAAAACGTTCTCATCTTGGGTAGTGATCTAATTGGTTATTTATACTCCACACTGTTAAGTACAGTATAACATTTTCACTGTTGTTTTATGAAGATGAATTGTTCTTGTTTGTCCACCGGTGACTGGATTTTGGTAGTAGGCATCTCATTTCTATTTGAGAATGGGTGGAATTAATATATAGAGGGAAGGAGCAAAGGACGTTGCACAAAGAATAGGAGACAACTATGTGTCTGTACATTCATATTTGACTCGTGGAAATTGGCCATTAGAAAGACCCTGTCTGGAAATATTGTAAAGACATACCTTTTATAGTTTAAAAATACAGTGCAACTAATCAATTTAGCCAATTGTAAGACAAAATAAGTTTATAAGAACCTGGTTGTAAGTAAGAACTAACTGGTGTAAATAAGGCTCTATTTAATTGTAAATCATATGGCTTCAGGATTAGATTTGGACCTCTTATTAAAGTATCAGTAGGAAATTTATTTCAAATTTAATTTCCTTCTTATTGAAAGAATTGACTTATCTCTTCAGGCAATTATCCTGCTGTGCATATATTCTGTGTACGTACACAGAGTCAAGAATGCCAAGAGTCCTTGCTTGTTGCTATCATTGAGACTGCTGGCTGATTCATTTGCCAGTCATATTTTGCATTTTACAACACTGGTTATAGCCAACTTATAACAGCACACCTGAAAAATCCTAATTGCTTTTACCTGATGCAATGCAAGTTGCCTGTGTCCCGAGGGAACAATATCATTAGGTATACCAGGGTATAAATGAATTTGTACTTTTTTTGTCTTTATGTTCCATAGACATTTCATACAAAAGAGGGGTGGGGAGGGGAGAAGGAGGATTTGGTTTCTTCAGTCATTAATACTTCCAATCTTACCAATAACTCATCACACCGCAGGGAAATCTCTGCTTTCAGTCATTTTTGAATGACTTCTTTAATAAATTAGACTATTTGCAGAACAATCTGTTTTCAAGGTGAAATAGTTACTTGGAATGCTTTTATTCTGCATTGCAAGGAGAACAAAAATCAACTACTAACAAGCTCTGGAGAGGAACTTATTTTCACAAAGAATTAGCAATAAGAGAGCAGACACCTCCTTTTTTTCCCCCTGTATGAAAGAATTTGGAGTGGTGAGCCAGGGTTACTGAATATTATTTCAGTAAAATATGAATCCAATGGGGATCTAGAGGTTCTTGGCAGATTTTTCTTCACTCAGATTCAACAATCAGTAAACAAGTGGAGGAGACGCAGCAACATTGGCCCAACTGGCAGTGCCTATTAAAGTCATTGTTCCTTCCCAATGTTAAGCTCCCCCCTTTGCGGACGTGACACACATTCACTCCACTTAACAAATGCTCCCTTCTTCTGGATAGTTATGCAGGAAAAATCCTGATGAAGGTTTTTCCCTATTCAGCAGTAATCTCTCAGGTTACCAGTGCTGAAGGCAAATCACTGGGAAAAGTTACCACCACTGTATCCTCCTTCTAAGCTTCCTAGAAGCATCTTTGGCCATTCAAGAAAAGAATTTTGGGGGGTTGGGGAAGTAAACCAAGCATAAATTTTTACATACTTAGGAAAGCCATGTTTTTTGTTTTATTTTGTTCAAAAATGCATATTGCCATGCGGGCCTTCTTTATATGCACGGAGTTATCTATGGCAATAGGACTTCTCTATTGCTTTCATAAGCATTCCTGATGGCATAATGAGGAAACTCCTTTCTGTGAGCAAGGCACTTTCCTTTGTGCAGGAGAAAAGGATTCTCGTGTTTGGTTGGTTTAACTCTCTGATTTGCATTGATTGGACCAACAATATTGCTTTTCAGTCTCAGAGAATGGTAAATTAGCCATCTAATCTAATGAGACCAGGGAAGTCCTGTGGTGGTTTGATGAAAGTAGGAGGTCGCCCTGATTTTCAAGGGAAC